ATGATAGGAAGCACATTCTTCGTCAAGCTGACACAGCAAACTCATCCCTCAAAATATCCTTTTGTGGCTAAGAAGCTGTAACACACAGAAGAAATAATGTCCATTTGGACGCCCAGCTCTCCTTGACTAATCACTCCTGTGTATGAAGCAAAATCACACCAGAGTCCTATATGGTTTTATACAAGAGCAGGTCTATTTGGTTTCCTCAGAAAGGCCTTCCATAAATACCAGTGTACGTAAAAATGCTGTAGGTGACTATCTAATTTGCTAGCCCCTCAAATCTTTTCCTAGACCAGCTGGTGCTTTTTAACTTTTCCCCCGAGTTATTGGAGTGGATAAATCTCAGAAGCAGATTCTGAGATCCTCACGCTTTTCCTTATTTACCCTGCCAGTAACAACATGTCACAGGTTGTCTTCCCTGCTGGAGTCCAAGGCTGAGCAATTAGTCTCCCATTGTCTTTACAGGAAATGACATCCATGTGGCTTCTGGGGAAAGCAACTGCTGATCGCTCTGGTTAAAATAATTTGGAAAGTGTTCAGCACTTCCTCTGGTTGATCATTTAAACTGGCTGATTTGGAAAGCTTTTGGAAATGCACAAAGCGAACAAAGGTTGTCAGAACCAGAAATACTCCTGGGTCAGTTCCCCAAACAAAACAAGTCTCTAAACTGTTGCCTGTCAATGCACTGACTTGTCTGGACTCTTGAGCATATGACTAAGCCCAATGTCTTGGTGTTCTGTCCTTTTTATAATGCTTTACTGGACACTGATTTGTTGGAAAGATGCTTTCCAGCTTCAGGTAATTGAAAACCCAACTCAAGGAGGCCTGAACAATAAGAAATTTACTAGACTTCCATTGGTTCCACAGACTTCAGGGTTGACCTGATGCAGTCACCCCAACTCTGCTTCCCTGGGACTTTTGTCTTTGCCCTCCTCTTTGGGCCAGCTTTATCATTAGACTGGAGCAAGGTAGCTACAGAAGTCCTAGGCATCATATCCCACACAACATTCAGAAGGGGGGAATTTATCTCAGAATGAGAAGCTCCCAGCAAAACATTCTTGACATCTTGTTGGCCTAAATTGGGTCACATGCCTAATCTTGAACCTGTCACTGTCAAGAGGAATGTGTTCCCCTTAGATCAGTGCATTTGACACCCTGTGGACACACAGATCACCTGGGGATCTTATAAAATAGATTCTGGTTCAGTAGGTTTGGGCTAGGGCCTCAGAGCTGACATTTCTCAGAAGCTCCCAGGTGATGCTGACCGTCACTGGGTAGCATGCCACAAAGCCCTGGGCCCTTCAGGTCCCCACCCTCCAGCTGGAGTGCTGTCACCTGCCCCTGAGGCACTGTGGCTGAAGAGATATAGGGGATCTGTTAGGAAGAAGGGTGAAGGAATGACCCGTGCAGATGAGAACTGTATTAGAGATACTTGTTCCGATGGTAATGAGAATGTTATCCTTTAAACCAGGAGCCGCACAGGGTCTATGATATGTAGTAGAAGCAAAAAGTTCATGCAGGGCAATGTGTTGTGTGGGAATGCCTATTAATACCTTACTATTTATTTATGGGGATATATATGTCATAATTCTTGAAACAAAAGATTGAACAGTCATGTTGCCCTCCTCATTATCTTTCAGTTCTTTCTATTTAATACCATATATCTAATGTGTCTCAAAAAGAACAAATTCAAATGAGATGGATGTAAATGTCCTTAAATTTAAAAAGAGTGTGCCAAGCCCAGCCTTTGATCTGAGTGAATATGTCATCTGTCTTAGTTCTCGGGGAGAGAGAGTACACCCCTACTGTCCTCAGGGTCACTGGATATGAGGTTGAGCATGAAAAATGCTGCTGGTGGTGGATTTATGCCAAAGCAAATGGCCACAATACCTTTATGAGTGATTATCAGTGGAGAAAATCATCATGCTGTCATCATTTGAAAAGGGAGAACTATTTTGTGATTTTTTTAAAGTTTATTTAAGTGACCTCTACACCCAGTGTGGGGCTCAGACCCATGACCCTGAGATCAAGAATCACATGCTCTTCCAACTGAACTAACCAGGCACCCCTAATTTATTATTTTTAAATTTTTCTTAATAAAAGATGCACAGGAGTCCTGAGCTGTAGCTGTTTAGGGAAAAAGCTGGTAAGACCAAAGGACTGGTGTCCATCCTGGGGCAGATCCATCATAGACCCAGTGGGGCTCAGAGTGAAATACGCAGCCAGGTGTTAAGTAGACCTTCCTGAGACAGTCTCTTTGGCAGGGTTGTCATCTCCGACTTCATATGCAAGGATGGTGTCATTTAGGAGGGAAGATGACATTTCACCACTCCATCTACTGGAACCACGGGCTCACATCCGTGAGACCAATGGAAAACCAGAGCAACTCTTCAATGACCTTGCCTACATAGGTCACCAAGGTGCCCATACTTAGGAAATCACCAGATATGTCTCATCTTTGCAGAAGCCCTGAAAGGTTGAGAGGTGCCCAGCTACTCTCCACCAGGTGGGGAAACCTGCTAGACTTGGTGCTCCATGAAGGCAGGGACTGTGAGCCCCCTGTGTGACGCACTGCCTGGACCGCTGGTCTGTTCCTGGGAGATCTGTCAGCAGCACTGACTGAGCATCCACGCTCTAGAGAGAAGTAAAAGCAGAGAACATTTTGTTGCCTAACTTCAGTAATTTATACTCTAAATATGGAGTGTTTAGGGGTCCTATCTACATATTTAGGACCTCATAGCCTGCCAAAGAGAGGTGAAATAATAGTCATATTAGCTGATCTGTGTGGGGCAGGCAAGAAAGCCCTTTGACTCACTGATTGAATCAAACAATGCTGGCCACATGCCTTCCTGCCTGTGTGTGCTGTGAGGCAAAACACTATTAGCCATGGGAGGAATTAAAAAAAAAAAAAATAGTGCCTCCCCTTACAGCCTAAAAAGTAGGATACAGTAAATGTATTTCAAGTATCTATAACAAATAAAACATAATTTTTGAAAGAGAAAAACAAAGAGAGATAAGATCATAGCCATTGGGAAAATCAAGGTAGAAAGGGCTCAAGGAAAGGTGCCTGGATGGCTCAGTTGGTTAAGCATCTGCCTTCAGCTCAGGTCATGATCCAGGGTCCTGGGATCGAGCCCCACATCAGGCTCCCTGCTCGGTGGAGAGCCTGCTTCTCCCTCTCCCACTGCCCCTCCACCCTGCTCATGCTCTCTCTCTATCTAAAATAAATAAATAAAATCTTTTTAAAAAAGAAAGAAAGGAAGGAAGGAAGGAGGGAGGGAGGGAGGGCAGGCAGGCTTCAAGAAGAAGAAAGTTAGGGGCGCCTGGGTGGCTCAGTTGGTTAAGCGACTGCCTTCGGCTCAGGTCATGATCCTGGAGTCCCGGGATCGAGTCCCGCATCGGGCTCCCTGCTCGGCAGGGAGTCTGCTTCTCCCTCTGACCCTCCTCCCTCTCATGCTCTCTGTCTCTCATTCTCTCTCTCTCAAATAAATAAATAAAATCTTTAAAAAAAAAAAAAAAAAAAAAAAAAAGAAGAAGAAAGTTAGGCCAGGCCTAAAAGCAGGGGCTCATGACATGGGTCCATGAATGGAATTCAGAGCTCTGTGAACTTGGATGGAGGAAAAAAAATTTATTTTCACTAACCCTTAACCGAAATCTAATATTTCCTTGTATTACAAAGTAGCATTAGTTCTTTGCCACCAATAGAAATTATGGGTGTTTTCATATTATATTATGGTTATAGATACCCTAAAATATCATTTATGCCCAACAGTACTTCAAATTACAGTAATTTTTAGACTTTTGCTGGAACTTATTTAAATATGGAAAGAAACACATCACAATTTTGTTATATTTTGATAACTGTATGATCAATATGCTTCTTTTGAATCCTATTCATTTCATGCATTAATTTCAAGCATTTAAAAACATTATTCTGAGAAACATGTCTCTAGATTGCTACAGGACAAAAAGGACAAAGAGCCCCTGCCTCAGAAAATGGCTAGGCTTCCTACCAGCAATTATGAGGCAGAGACACTCAGGGAAGGAACTGGCATGCAGACGGCTCAGGCAGGACAGGTGACTGGACGCTGCAGCTTCCGGTGGGAAGATGTGGACATAAAGCAGAGGGGAGCTGGAGTCCCAGGCTAATGTAATTTCACAGATAAATTTGTAGGTCACAGGAAGCAGTGGAAGGTGTTTCCACAAGGTTTTAAGTTGCGTTTAGGAAGGATGCCTTGCAGAGCCGTGAGAGCAGGATTGGAAGGGAAGAAACCAGGGGCCAGGAAACCAGTTTCTGCACGGAGCGATGCCAGCTGGTGTAATGATAAGATAGAGAGAAGGTGGTGAGTTCCAGCACACCCGCAGGACTAGAAGGGCAGGCTGGGACCTTGGTTCACCGAGGAGGTGAGGAAGGCCATGTTTGTTTTCAGGCCTGGGTGATTAGGAGACCGATAATAGCTCCTTGCATGCACTGAGTGTTTACTGCATGCCAGATGCTGTTTTAAGCCTTGCTGTGACATTTATATGTCATTAAATTTATCTCATTTAATTTCCATAACCACCCTGGGAGGTCAGTGCAATAATCCCTATTTTACAGGTAAGAAAATGAAGTCTAGAAACGAAAGGTGAGGGTCTCACAGCCAGCAAGGGAGAAGAGAGTGTGTTATTGAAAGAAACAGGAAAAAGAATTGGTTTGGGGGAAATTTTTATGAGTTCAATTTTAGATATTTTTGCATTGTTTTGTCTTCAATTATTTTAAAGGGCTAAAAATTCAAATAAAGTCTGAGCAAAGTTTCTGGTTTACTTCATTCTCCAGACTTTTATTTATTTGTTAATTTATAAATGGTTTCATCTTCCTGTGAAAAACGGAGAATAATCTGGCAGTAAGAGTTTGGTACGTGGATGAGTGCCCCAAACAAGGAAGACTACGTGGTTTCCAGAAGGGTAAATGACTTCTGTTCAGCAATGCATTTTTCCTTTTGTCGTGGTTTGTTTTTCAGGACCGGTCCAGCAGCTGTAGAAGAAGACATGTGGTGTATATAAAGTTTGTGATAGTTGGGGGAAATTTTGGTAAGTGCTGCTGCATTTTCTAATACCTTTTGTTGTAAAGTGGTGCCCAAAAGGGAAGCCATTGCCTTGTTTCGTGCATCTTTTGAATCTGCACTAAACTTAGACAAAATAGGATTTTATAATTAGATGTGACATTTAATCAGCACTTGCTGACAGTATGACATTTTTTCTTGTTATTGCTAATGTTATTAAGAAATGTGGGGTTTTCTAAGATTTAATAAGAAGTCTAGATTTAGGGAAGCTTCTGGACACAGGGTAAAGAATACCCTTGACAGTTTAGCTTACGGTCTAGGTAACCCATGGAATATAAGAGTAATAACGTGCAGACCAATAGAATAACAACAGCAACAAAGAGTCTCCACCACAGAGAAATCCTTACGACCTAGCTGTTGAAATGAGAAATGGACAGTTAGCTGTTTGGGGAACGGGAAACTGAAGGGAATCAGGAATCCCAGCATGACAGTGGCCCAAGAGACCAAGAACATTAAGTTCAGCAACCACCCAGAATACCTTGCCAGCAGTAGTAAAAAGAACAGTCTTCAGGGTCAGGCTAAAATTTAAGTTCTACACTAACTGGTTGTTACATCCACTCTCTGAGCCTCAGTTTCCTCGTCTATAAAACAAGGCTTGTAATGTTACACACCTCATATGGTTGTGGTGAGAATAAAATGAGCTAGGTAGTGCTGGGGCATAGTAGGTGCTTGATAGAGCAGTTATTCTTGGTAACGGGACAGCCTCATTTGAAAACTGGACATTTACTGAAGTCAAACCACCAAAAGGTGTACATATCTCCCAACAGGAGGGCCACCGTGGATGGGTTGGTCACACCACATTTGCTGTCACAAGGGATGTCACAGCTGGTCACCGCAGTCCGTCCTCCACAGTCCACTCCATAACACACTGTGGCAGCCCCAAGACATTTATCATCTTCTCCACTCCTGTCTACCCATTCTTAGACAAGCTTGGCTAATTTAACTTCCCTTCCTGCCACCTTTGCAGACAAGTACAGTTACATTTGTTAGAGTTTTGTTTCGGTTTTGAAGTTAATGTTACTTTGAATGAAAAGAATGAGAAGGAAAAGAAGAGGCAGGAGTAGTTACCATATTTAGGCTTTCATTTCCAAACCTTTCTTTTGATTTTTTTTCATCTGTGCTTATTATATACCCTTTGCAGAGATCCAGGTATCAGGCTGAAATTTTTGAGCTTCGACTAAAAGAATTTGGCTTTGGGGTAGGGCTTTTATCTATGGTTGGAAGGAATCAGCCATGTCACTCACTGCAGATGGGTTGGTTTTTAAGATTGGTGTCCCTAGGTGGACCCCTCCAGTTTCATGGAATCGAAGAGATGGACATGGCCTCAAGGGTTGTCTGGCCCATTCTCCCACTAGCCAAAACAAGTCTCTTCTACAGAACCTGTGACAGAAAGGAGTCCAAATTCTCTCAGAGGTGAGGAGCTTGCTACTGCACAGAGCAGCATGCTCCAATTAAAGAAAACAATTAAGGGGCACAGGAAAAGTGTAGTGGGTGAGGAAATTATTCTGGATCTTGGATTTCTAGCAGTATTTATACAACTGTATTGTTTCATGAAAGTTCACAGAATTCTATAATAAAAGGGTGAATTTTGCTGTTAATTAAACCTCAGTTTTGTTTTGTTTTGTTTTTTAAGATTTTATTTATTTGACAGAGAGAAAGCACAAGCAGGGGGAGTGGGAGAGGGAGAAGCAGGCTCCCCACTGAGCAGGGAGCCTGACTCAGGGCTCGATCCCAGGACCCCAGGATCATGACCTGAGCTGAAGGCAGATGTTTAGCTAAGCCACCCAGGCACCCCTAAACCTAAGTTTTAAAATAGAAAAAACAAAAAAACAAGCAGTTAGACAAATACCTGGACATTTAGCTCAAATTGTTAAAAAGAGAGAGGGAAGAAAGGAGGGAAGGAAGGCAATCTAGTCCTTACATTGAACCATATGTGCTCCATGAGACGGGAACTTGGTCTTCTTCCTTCCTCTGGCCCCAGTGCCTGGACAATGCCTGGCACTTAGCAGGCCTATGGTAAGTACTCATTGAGCCAGCTATGCTCGCAGTCACTTTCTAAGTAGGCAGAGACAAGTCTACCCACACTCTCACACACACCAGCCCTTCACGTATTTGAAGACCCTCTCCTTCGTCATTCGTCTTCTCTTCTCTGGGCTGAACTTAACCATGTTCCATCCTTGTACTGTTTGTCTCCTGATGTTATTTCCCTCTCCCTCCCCACCCTGCCTTTCCAGCATTAGAAGCACTGCCCCTGAGGTGATCTGGCCCACGAGCAGTACAGAGGGCCGTTGCTTCTATAGACAATGTCACTAGATACAAACCCTAATCCTCTTCCTTTGCGATCAGTACAGAGTGCCTGGTAATAGATTGTGAAGGATTTCTTAACAGTAGTCTTCTAAGAATGGAATTCCTCAAAGTGGGGAGGATAGCCGTCTAAGAGATAGGGTACAGTAAATCCATCCTCTCTTAAGTGTCTTGACTGAAATGAGGCCAGGCCTTGCCACCCTTTGTTTAAGACAGCAGTAGTGCTGTTTTTAATCTTTCAAGGCAGCACCGTATCACAGATCCTGGTTCTTCATTATGAATCACAGGAAGTTTGAAATTCTTAAAATGAAAACTTGTGAGTGCCTTGAAAAATCTAGATTTATTTTCCCCCTGGGCATGCCACGGGGAGATATATAAGTGCTGTGGTTCTCAACCCGAGTTAATTTTGTTCTCCCACAGGACATTTGGCAATGTCTGAAGACATTTTTGGTTGTCACAACTGGGGGTGGGAGGATGTGTGTACTGACATCTAGTGGGTGGAGGCCATGGATGCTAACCATCCTACAGTGCACAGGACAGCACCCCCCACACACAGTGATCAGGCCCACGTGTCAAGCTGAGACTGAGAAACCTGATATGGAAGTAATAAAAAAATTTTTTTTTTAATGTCCAAAGTACTTATTATTTTGAAGGTTTAAAATTTTAAGTATTTTGACATTTAATTATATGTAAATATATAACTAGAAAACATAAAGAAGTTTGGTCAGAGAATCATAGGGCCAAAAGGTCTCATAAGGGACTCTCTCTCACTCCAAGCACGAACTGACTTAAATGAATTCAGACAGACAGATGGGCGTCTGAAGTGAGACTCACACAACATGATCCCCGCATTCACACAAAGGAGGTCATCTCCTATTTTAATTTCAGCTCCAGCTTCTTCAGAAGTGCCTGCCTTTAGATGGTCTCTGAGATGAAATGGTATTTCAATCTGGGCTAGTCCTTCCTTTTGAATCAAGGGCAGTGATTCTGGTGTGATGAAAATGTGCTTAGGGAGGAGAGAGATCTCATTACAGATGATTGAGATTGGGTATTTTGGTACACAGGGCTGTTTATTTGCATCAATTTCCTAGTGACACCACAGTCTGGTTTAAATGTAAGTTGTTGAGGGCTTTTGTAGCCCAAGATGGCTACATTTGCTGAAGCAGGGAGATTAAAGCAACATATGTCAAGTTGTGATATAGGACAATCCACTTGAAAAGACTTTAATTATAGGGCTTATTTTGGGAGGGTAACTGTGCTTTTTGTGAGGTATATTTTGGGATCCACTAACCCAGCTTCAAGGCTAGTAATATCTTCCCAGAAAGGGTGTGGCTTGTGCTTGTGGACATAAATATTTTCCTACCAAAACCTTTAGTATAATATTCCTTCAACTTTACTACCACCCATTTTTCTTTTTCTGATAATCTTTCCCTTTGCAAGTATGCTATGAAAATGCATTCTAGAAACTTGGAGAAGAAAAGGATAAAAGATCACATTTTAGATGGCCAAGTCCAGAGATTTAGGAACTTTACATTATCAGTCTGCTGTTTTTAAGATGAACAGAATTTGGAGGAATGTACCAATGCTGAATAGTAAGCAGTGTTGGGTGAGACTGTAAGAACCATGCTGATGCTGAATATTTTAATGTAAGGGACGATGGAGAAGCTACACATGTATGGCTACCTAATTTGCCAGCACTGCCTCCCCAACCCCTGGGTGATTCTTATGGGCCACCTCAGTGCCCTTTTACCACAGCTGACAACCTAGAGTGGGTATCCGTTTGCACATTTGCTCTTCAAGACTCATGCCTTTCCCCAGCTCTGCCTTTGGTGGCCTCCTTCACTTCCCTATTAATACCTGAGGCCTTTGGCCTTCCTCAAAGGAAGGGTTGGAACTTTCTGCCCAGTCAGCATTTCCTAGTCCTCGTTTGAAAGCGAATGATAAAGGAGAAATTAGATCAACAAAGTAAAATCAGCTTTTTGCTTACACAATGTGTGTGGGAGGTAGGTGGGGAGGAGGAAGAGAGGTCAAGTAAGAACAATTTTTTAACCCAAAAACCAGCCACACCTGAGGGCAGAGAAGCATTTTTACCTAAATTCTAAGTCATGAAAGCAATAAAATGAGAGCAAGAATGCTCCGTGAGGGAGAGTTGAAGACAAAGCCTCCTAACCGTAGAAGTCTCTGGAGAGGTGTCCCTGTTCTCCCAGAGGCAGTCTGCAGCCTGCATCTGAATCACCCAGAGAGATGGATTTAAGAGTGCAGGTCCCTGGGCCCAGTCCAGACGGACAGAATCCAAACCCCTGTGGCAGGTGTATTCTTCATGCCACTCTCCAGGTGGCTCTTGTGCACTAACACTAATTATTAGTATTACTCTTGTACTCTTGTACTACTAATATGCAGCCCTGCCCAGCCTCTAAGATTCTCTTCCATAAGCATGGCTGAAAAATGCAAAGAACGGAGCAGCCATTTTGAAGGTCAGAACTACGCATTATGCTCCTTGCTCTGCTGTGCGTGGGAGAGTAGAGCACCGTATCCTGTTACCTCATTCTCTTGATCCTTGAGGTTAATCCTCGCTCACTAAGAGAAGCGTCCTTCTCATTCCAGGTTAGTGTGGGTGCCATCCCAAGCCAGGTTCTTTGAAGCCAGTTTGAGACTGCCATCCTT